ATTAACAACATTTTCTCTCTCTCTCTCTTTGTATATTTTTGTTTGTTTGGGGTTTGTTTTGTTTTGTTTTTTGTTTTTGTTAAGGAACAATCAAAACAAAACCTATCTAATATGCATCACCTTTGCCTTTCATATTGCCCAGCGCTCACACCATCTAGCCCAAAAATATGTCTGTAACATCCTCATCACTGTGGTATCTGAGTGCCTTACAAGAAATGATAGCAGCTGCAGTATAACTTCTGAAAAACTTTAATGTGAATTCAATGGCAGACATTGGTAAGTGCAAAGGCAGATTTCCATCAGTTTATTCACACAGAACAGACATATAGAAATAACAAACACTCTTACTGGAGATGAGCCTGAGTTGATTAATTCAGATCTGGGTTGAGATTTGGACATCCCCTATCTCAAAATTTGGGGTTGGTCAAATTCTTGTCCTGGGCATTGTCCAAAATCTTACTCTGGTTTGGCCCATTACAGAGATGGGCCCCAATCTTGAATATCAGATCATGGTTTGTGTCTGATTTGCTAAGCCTCTTGATCCTCAAAAGTTCAGGGGTATTTGGATTTGGGGGTTCTGGTGTATATTACCATTTAACTAAAACACTGTGGGCTTTTCATATGATTTCATGACAACTGAAGAAAAATATTTCTATGGCTCCAGATAAAATAAAAAGCTAGTAAAGTAGAAAGTGTATGTCCTTCTGTTGCTGGTTAGTAGCTCTGTTGAATGGCATATATACTGACATTCTGAGACACAGAGATATCCATCTCTAGAGAGAGGGGAAAAATCCACCAATTACTCAATTAGTGGATTTATTTTCCAGGAGGCACTGGAAAGAGAAGGAGAGAGAGGGCTCCAAAAATGCCCAAGGCATCCTTACCCTACTTCAAAAGATGAAGGGAGTGGAGGGGGGAGGACAAAAGTACTTGATAGTTATGAAGAAATAGTATTAGAACCAAGTAAAATTAAAACAATGCCCTGACTCTTTCCTTCAGTCAAAAGACAAACAGTGCTACATACTAAAGAAGGGGGAAAATGGGGGCAGAATTCTTTTAGAAAATAGCATCAATCAGGTCTGGATTTTGCAAAACCAAAACCAGCAGTGATTTGGAGCCAAGTCCTCCAAAGATCAGAAGACTATGTGTGCTTCAGAGAAAAGGATTCCAATTTGGCTATTTTCTATTGCTGGTCACACAAACAAGTTCAAAGCAATATAGATGCAAAGTATGAGTATTCATGGGTGGAGGGGAATGGACAAATTAGACAAAGACTTTGGATTGCAGGTTGAATAAAAATCAACCGATAATATTTTTTTGTAAAGAATTAAATAACGTGGAGGGAAATCTTACCCAACCCTGTATGGAAAGAAAACTTCATAACAAGGCTGCAGTTAAATTGTAGCACCTTTTGTCACACAGCACCATTACAAAATGGAATTTGACATATATAGAGATCACCAAAGCAATATACCGGATCTCAAGATCCCCAAACTCTGGGAAAGATCACAAATCCAGATCTGCATCCAAATTTTATATCTAGTTCTAACAAACAAGAAATGGAAAGAGAAATCTGAAAAACCCCAAACCAATGTATCCTAGCCACATTCTCTGGATTCTTCCACTCTGGCAAATAATACACTTTCTATCACAAACAACAGAAAGAGTTGCCAGTGATCTCTCCCCTTTCTCTCACTGCATGATCACAGCTACATTATGTGTCGGGTACCATATTTACTAGTCTCTTTGTAGTTTACACTGATAGCTTCCTCGGGTCTAGTGGACTGTTCCTCCCCTTACCTACTCTGGTGTGTGCGAGGAATCAGGCCCAATGTGTTTTCTGTTTGTTACGCATCGTTTCGTTACAAAGAGTAAATGTAAGAAGTAACAAAAAAGAAACGAGGTTTAGTAATATGTTAGTGACAAACTGAAATTGCAAGGAGCTCTCTATGTCTATGAGAAGTGATGTTAGAGAGATCTGAACTCTTGGGTTTCTCCTCCACCCGCTCATCCCATCTGTCATGTGAATTACAGTTCTCCTGATTGCTTAGTAGTTGAATACCTTTCTACCCATTGTCCAATTTCTTCCAAAAGGATCCTTTTTCCTCATGACCCCTATCTACAACTATATTCATTGTTACATACTCTCTAATATATAGGTTTACATACACACAGTACTGTTAACACCTCTATGTACATAACATGTAACTTGCCCTGGCTCAGACTTGAACCAGTGATACAAAATGATGGGACAAACAAACACGGAAGAAATGCAACATGATGCTCCAAAAATTTTATTTCATTCACATTTTCTGTAACCTCTTTTTCATGATCAAGTTTCTGATGTACCTTACTTATGCGGGCTAAAACCAGGTCTCAGTAAAATGAGGTAAATCTGAGAATAGAATAAGAGATCCCTTGTATTGACAGGAAATTGATCAGAATAGCCACACAGAGAAACATAATATACAACACATATATCTTCACTCAGTCCTAAACAAGAAAGCTCTCAGATCTGTGACAGTCAGCCAGCAGCACCAGAGTCCTCTGGAACCCAGAGCCATCAGCAGGACTTTGGTATAGTACTGTCAAAAAGGTCATAAATGAGTGTGCTTTTAATCACAGGGTCATTATACAGGGGGAGATCTGCAGAGTCCTCTCAAGTACCTCCCCATTTTGATCATTTTAAAAAGAATTCCTTCATGTACAGTATGCCAACACTCCCCAATAAAATCTACGTCCCTAAAACATATTATTGCTTGGCTGTGACAAAAATATATCAACTTCTAATATTTCTTTTTCTACTTGGTAACCATGCAAACCGCTCTTTCAAATGCTTTAATGAACCTGATCTTCATTATGTACAGTACACTGCCACACAGATGCAACCAAGTCCCACCATCTATTGACCACGTTGTCACACAAGCAACCCATTTCCATTCCTTCCATTACTGGAATGAGAGGGAGTTGGAGAGGAGGAAGGGACAAGCAAAGTTTTATGTGCAATCAGAGTATGAGAGAGAAATAGTATTGTACAGACATTATCTGTAGTGCGATAGCCAGGTCTAGTGACATACAGATTCAGTGCTCTTTGTGGTGTACTCAAGAAGTAGCTAAACATTCACTGTGAAGGGTTGGAAGTAATGATAGTTTTGAAAGGGGCATTTTACAGTCTATATTATTATACAGGCTATAATAAAAACACAATTGCAGATTTATTCACAGAAAACTGAACAAACAAAATAAAAACGAATTACATTACACTCTACACATTTTAACTCCCTTTGGGCATATTATATTTTGGGCAGGGAAGAACAGGATAAAAGGAAGATCTGCTTCTTCTCAGCACAGAGAGGAGAAAGGATCAACTCCCCCGTCTCCTCAGCCTATCAGAGATTTACAGAAATGGCTAAAGGAATATACAAAGAAACACTATCAACACTTCCAATTTGCCATTCATGATGCCCAGTCCATGCTCCCCACCTTTCCAGTATTAATCAGCTTATCTTCCTGTTTGACTGTCTCTATTGAACTTGCTTTGTTCATTGATCTCTTTTCTTTATTTTGACGTGATAAGACCTAGGCCGAGTTCTGCTCTCAAATTTCCTATCACCGCCCTTTTAACATGATGTGTCTTTATCTGGTGCCTTCATTAACTCATTCGTCCTAGTCAGGTTCAGAGGGTCTCTTTCCAGCATACCCAATCAAACAGATGTTAGAGCAGCAAGCAGACGCTTACGAAGAAAACACCACCGCAGCACCAACACACAGACATACACCTTTCTCCTGACTGTGCCTGGTTTTAACATCCGCAAGTTCCCACTGAAGTTCTTTTCTCTCCTTAAGCTTTCAGTTCTGTAGTCCAAAGAAACTGATGCAAACAGCTCAAAGGGTATGCTGAGTTTCAGTGTGAAATGGAAGTGTGGGCAAAGGCGTAGGGCAAAGAGCCTTCCTTACAGAGGTGGAGGGTTATTTTATTTGTTTAAACGAACTTGTCAGGTCGATGACCCAGGAAATGACTATGATTAAACAAATCACAATACCTGTTTACCCGAGCTACCCATCAGAGACACTAGCTGCGGCAATACATACATCACACACCGGTCACTCAAAGGGAAGGCACAAGAGGTAAAGGACCGTGGCAAGGAGGTGCGAGTGCCCAAGTTGATATGGGAAGTGCAGACCAGCTCCGGGATGCCCTCCCCAGGTGTCTGCCCCGGGAGTCAGCGGCCACTGCTACCCGGCCCACCGCTCCCTTTTGCCACCGATGACAGCCTACCACCCAGGATTGCGGAGCCCAGATGCCCCCTTATTGGAGACTCATCTTGGGTCAGTCTCCTTCTCCATCTTTCCAAGATCCGGCAAAGCCATTTCAGCAAGAGAAGGAGGAGAGAGGGATGCGATCAGACCAGAACCGCCCCAGCTCCAGCAGGACTTCGGACTTTTCGGCTCCACCAATATACACTCACACGCAAGCTGCAGGGCTCCACTACAAGTGGATCCCAGCCTCCCCTTCTCTCTGCTCCCGGAGGGGGAGAATCCGAGCGTCCATACAGCCAATTCCTCCGACCCCCTTGCTGTTCAAGTTACTCTGCAGCATGGGCAGGGAGGGTGCATGTGTGCAGAGGAATGTATTACACACACACACATATGCACTATGTGCCTAAATACACACATATTGTATTGCAGAGAATACACGCATATTAGAACAGTGTCAGCTTCTTATGCCCCCCCTCCCCCCAAAGCTCCCCTGGTCATTTCAGTTAGTTGGATGCATTGCAAGAAAGAGAGAGAATTTCCGTCTTCTCTGTCCCTTTTTGTGTAGATCTGCAAATCTCGATAGATAGATAGATAGATAGATAGATAGATAGATAGATAGATAGATAGATAGATAGATAGATAGATGGGGAAGTGGGAATCCAGGTGCACAGTCACTACCCCAGGAGAAGTTGAGGGAGGAGAGGCTGGGTGGCTAGTCGAGCCCCTCCCGAGTGGCTTACCTTGCGCTGCGGAGCCCGTGCTGCTGGCACTCAGGATAGCCAGGGCAGGCAACACGAACGTTTGCAGTAAGTATCCCAGTCCCAGTCCGCATCGGGCAGCCGTGCTTTCCAGACCTTTCCCCATGGCTGGTCAGAGAAGCAAGCAAAGGAAAAAAACACACCACCACCAGCAGCAGTCCTCGGGAAGAAGCAAGCCCCGCACGCCACTTTCTTCGGGCAAGGGGGAGAGGAAGGGAAGGAGAGGGGAGCAGCTTTTCGAGAGCCCCTTCCTTCTTCAAGTGGCTGCTTCTCCTGCCACTCGTCCAGTCTGGGGAGCCCAAAGGCTGCCACCAACGTGCCCCGAGTCTGCGCTGCTTTCACGGCCCCCCTGGCTTTGCCACCGCACCCAGGCACAGGAGGAGAGGTGAGGAGAGGAGCCCTTTTCTCCCCCTCGATCTGCTCAAGGTTGCGCGGAGGAGGTCAGGTGCCCAGGCTGCTGCTGCTAGGTGAAGAGGTCTGGTCATTTCATAGTCTTGAGAACAAGTCTGCGGGAGCTGGGTCTTGCAGAGGAGGAAGAAGCGGCAGCAGCATCCTAACTCCGGCTGGGGGCGCGTGGATTTGCATATGCGACAGAGAGCGCGCGCAAACTAGCGCCGGGAGAGCTGCGCGCACACCTAGCCCCGTGCATGGGGGAGCCAGGGACAGAGCGCGTTTGCCCCTCTCTCCCTCCTTTGAATGGTATACAGGAGAGCGCAGCCCTGGCTAAGGCACATTGCTCCATCCAATGGAGCTCAGCCTTCCCAGAGACACCGGCAAAACCTGCGCTGGATTCCCGGACTGGACGTGGCCCGCTATTGCCCCTCCTGCCCGCCCAGGCGCAGGGAGAAGGGCTCTTTCGCCAGCCCGCCTGATGAAAACTGCAGAAAAAGAGCCAGGAGACACCATTGAGGGGGAGAGGCTCCCTCACCCCCCCCCTACAGATCCCACCCATCCATCTGGGGGATGCAGCAAGGAGAACCCCTGCCTGCCAGGGACCGATTGGTCTGTCTGTCTCTCATGCACCCGCTCTCCCTACTAGCCAGGTACCATAAACATCATGAAGTGAAACATGGTTCTGCCTCCAGCCAGGGCACCCCCAGCCTGAGATCCCACAATCAGTTTCCGTTTTATTACAAGAATTGTGCACATGCACCACAACGTGCTTCGCAGTATCACCGGTGCAGCTTAGGGGTTTCCTTGCAACAGAGGAATGTCCTGAGCACCCGCTGTCCGATGCTGGTCAATCAAGAGCTACGGGGCTTGCACACTGACGCGTCCGTTCAGGAGCTCCACAGTACAGGGCAGAGACACCGGCCCCCGTCTCCAAGGCAGGGGCAGACTCACAAAATGTAAGGAGGAGGCGGCCTCATACAGGTGACTGGGCCACCCACCCCCACCAGGTGACAAGAGAAAAGTTATGCGGGAGCCGAGACCTGGACCGGGAAGGCTGTTGAGGGTAGCTGAGCTCTAGGGAAGGGGTCAGATTTGTCACCTCCTTGGGAATTTTGGATCATCCCCCAAACAGATCTGGCTCCCACCCACCCCTCCCACTTGACAAGGGGATGACGTCCCCAGGCGAAGGGGCAGCCGCTCCCCTCTCTCTACCAGCGAATCTTTCTTCTTTTCCATCCCAGGATGTGGGCTGGGAGATTGGCCTTTCTCCTCCCTCCCCACCCGAGCATAAAGATGAGCTCCCGGAATGGGGAGGGAGGGGGTTACATTCAGATTTGGACTCTATTGCGGGGAGCAACGTATCATCCAAATGTTAGGAGGCTTGAATAGGAATATCATTCAAATCCCAATATTGGCCTCAGCCATCCTGCCTTTTTTACCATAAGGAATTAGGAGGAAACTGTCACTTAGTTGGGGGGCTCTGTTTCTCTTACACACTTCTCTCTGTGTTAGACCTCTTAAATCTCACGCATTAGGGGGAAGTTTCCCGCATTTTGAATTAAATTTCCAGGAAATAGTGTTTTAAAACCTGTTTGAGTATGCAGACGTACAGCAGAATGCTCAGGCCAGCTAGCAGATACTTATCTATTACAATTTGCTACTGATTGTAACATCTGCAAAGTCCATAGAGGAAACACTCTGACTGCTGCTAGCACATTGTAGGAGAGTTCTTACAAATAAATATGGTATTCCAAAAGGAATTTCCTTTTCCAGAGCTCAGCAGGCCACTTTGGTTGGGTGAGGTGAGGAGAGAGGGAATGAGAATTATTTTATGCTGAGCTATACTTGCAATATTTCCATATATGAACAGATCATTGCCCTATACACCCAATGGAAAATATTATTTATTATTTTTACAGGTGTGTACGTTGCTTTGCACACAACAAATATCTGTCCTACCTGTAAAGTAGACATAGCACAGCTATGGATGTCAGACAAAGGTGTGTGGAAAAGTTATGGAAAGAACAAGCGTTGCAACAGTGTTGCAGAGGAGACCTGCTTTTGTTATATAAACCTATCTCGTGGTTTCCCTCTTGAATACTGATGTTGGGTATATTGGCTTTTCAGTCTTTTGTAATTGTCAATACATCAACAGAACAAAAAAAGTGATGAAAGTTGTTGCAACGAAATAGGTGTTGCAAAGAAAGACTCACAATTGGTTTTGAAGTCTGCCTCATTCAAAATGTTGACGGTCCTGCGTGGAGTAGTGTGTGTGTGGGGGGGGAAAGGGGCTCTGCACCTCTTTTCTCTGCCAAGGTCCTCTTGTCACATTGCAATATAGTTGTCACTGGGTTCAGAGCTCAATCCTGGGGCACGGATTGGCTGGGTGAAATGAAATCCCTAGGAGCCCAGTCTTTCAGAGGAAGAAAAAGAGCAGCAGCCTAAACTTTGCCCAGGAGAGTGTGACAGTTGTGTAATACGGAAATTAATATATACGAATCTAGGACACACTTAGAGTGGTGTGTGTGGCGAGAGACGCGGACAGAGAGAGATTGCGTGGGGGTGTTCGCCCCTCTCTCCTCTGCCCTCTACGAGGATCTGACATGCAGGGACGGTGAGCGAAGAAGCCCCAGCTAAGGCACATTTTTCTATCCAATGGGGCTCTGCGTGTTCCGAGATACCAGCAAAACCTGCGCTGGATTCCTGGACAGGAATCTCCTTGCTGCGTCCGGCAGAGCAGAGCCTGCTTTCCTGAGCGGGGGGATTCGGGGAGGGACAGAAAGGACTCGGCCTAGAGAACTATATGAGTCTGGCCGCTGCTGTCGAGAGCGCTGACAGCGGTAGCCAGGAGCTGGGTTGCTTCCTCGGGGTGGAAGAATGCAGGGAGAGGGAGAGAACCCCATTTTGGGAGAGGCAAAGAAAACAGACCCCATGGAAACCCCGCTGGAGGAGCTCCACTCCTGAGGGTGGGAGTGTGGAAGAGGGGAAATGAAAGAGACTCTGGCATGGAGGGAGAGAGATCCTCTCCGTGGAATCCCCCAGACAAGAGGAGAGGAGGCTTTCCCAGAACTATTCAGCCCTGCTCCTGGGTAGACACTGGCAGGGCAAGTCATGGCTGGGGAGCTTAACCCCTAATGTGGGGGATGAAAAAAGCGACCTAACTCCTCGCTGGTCCCCATCAGTTCTCACCTTCCCTTCCAACAATCTTTTATCACTCCTAGTAGGTCCCCCCATCAACAGGCCCAGCCCAGCAGTACATATCAGAGATTACCCGTTACATTGCTTTGCAAAGGGACTGCTTTGTAACCATTTACTGTACTGATATGTGAATCACAGCAAATAGCCCTATGCCTATTTATGGTGCTTTTTCCCCTCTAGACACCAGCCCCAGATTTGGTGCTCCCTAGTCTTATGACTGAAGCTGGTGCCCGAGTGGGTGGCACGTACACAAAGAATTTTCCTACATATGACATTTCTTAGGCATTTTTGTGTAATCTGTTAAAGTTGGGAAGTTTTCTCTCATTTGTTTAATATTCCAGGGGAAACTTTGCAAAGAGAGAAAATAAAAGGGAACCGCTAAAAGATGCAGAACATAGAAAATATACCTGCTGCAGGGCAAAATGATTGGCACGTCTGCTATCATTGGGGCCTTAAGTCATTGGAAGAAAAACGGGCACAATTCTCCATTAAATTGAGTCTGTGATGGGTTGGATCACAGAAACCCCCTTGGGAACTGCCAACTGATATGCCAAGACTACTTCTGCCCCTTCTTTTCTGCCCTGGCAGCTTGGGACTCCAGCACCCTGTCTTGCTGAGCCAGACACTCCAGTCTGCTCCAACACAGACCCAGGGTCTGAACCACGTGCCCCAAAGCTGCAGACTTAACTGAAAGCAACTTGAGAAGTGTTCCTGTCTTTAACACTCAGATGCACAACTCCCAATGGGGTCCAAACCCCAAATAAATCCATTTTACCCTGTATAAAGCTTATACAGGGTAAACTCATAAATTGTTCGCCCTCTATAACACTGATAGAGAGAGATGCACAGCTGTTTGCCCCCACAGGTATTAATACATACCCCGGGTTAATTAATAAGTAAAAAGTGATTTTATTAAATACAGAAAGTAGGATTTAAGTAGTTCCAAGTAGTAACAGACAGAACAAAGTGAATTACCAAGCAAAATAAAATAAAACATGCAAGTCTAAGCCTAGTACAGTAATAAAACTGAATACAGATAAAATCTCACCCTCAGAGATTTTTCAATAAGTTTCTTTCACAGACTGGACGCCTTCCTAGTCTGAGCACAATCCTTTCCCCTGGTACAGCCCTTGTTCCAACTCAGGTGGTAGTTAGGGGATTTCTCATGATTGCAGCCACTTTTGTTCTGTTCCACCCCCTTATATGGCTTTGGCACAAGGCGGGTCTCTCTGGGTCCCCACTCCCCCTTCTAAATGGAAAAGCACCAGGTTTAAGATGGATTCCAGTTCAAGTGACATGGTTACATGTCCTGTGAGACCCCAAACCTTCATTCCTCCCAGCCTGACTCACAGGAAGGCCTGCCCGCAAACAGAGCCATCCACAGTCAATTGTCCTGGTTGATGGGCGCCATCAAGATTCCAAATCACCATTAATGGCCCACACTTTGCATAATTACAATAGGCCCTCAGAGTTATATTTCATATTTCTAGTTTCAGATACAAGAGTGATACATTTATACAAATAGGATGACCACACTCAGTAGATTATGAGCTTTGTAATGATACCTTACAAGAGACCTTTTGCATGAAGCATATTTTAGTTACATTATGTTCACACTCATCAGCATACTTTCATAAAATCATATAGAGTGCAACGTCACAGAGTTCATTTATTTTTGATGATCCAGGGATTCCCATGGTTAGTACTTGTTGTTTGAGGCTGACTGTGAAGTCCGGGGTTGGTGATCTGACCTCATGAAATAGCTCCATCCCACTTTCAAAGCAGGTATCCCTCCAACTCGTCTTGGGATCCAGGGCCGGCTCCAGGCACCAGCTTGGCAAGCAGGTGCTTGGAGGGGCCACTCCAGAGAGGGGCGGCAGGTTCAGCTGTTCGGCGGCAATTCGGCGGACGGTCCCTCACTCCCGCTTGGAGCAAAGGACCTTCCGCCGAATTGCCGCCGCAGATCGCAATCGCTGCTTGCTTATTTATTTATTTATTTATTTATTTATTTGTGGCTGCTTGGGGCTGCCAAAACCCTGGAGCCGGCCCTGTTGGGATCCCCTCTGGCTACAAACCCAGCAGCCTATCTCAACCAGGAGTGGAAAAGTATGGGAACTTAGCTGCTTTGGACCCACAAC